ATGTATCTATGTTCTTCAATCCAGTTTTATTATGACGTTTTATTGTCGAGAGCTTTTGAGTACTTTGCACCATTTGGACCATATGCATATGGAATCATATATCTTGGGGTTTGTAGGTATGTTTCTTCCTTTTCTTAAGTTATACTTGTAATACTAACTCCGTTAATTGTTATGTGTAACAAAGGGACATTATTTGTGCACATAATAATTAACGGAGGTAGTAATATTGTGTACGCCTTGCCCAAATAAGTTTATGTTTCAAGTATTCTTCTAGATGTTTTATACAAGTAGGGATGCATGTTTTTTAATACAACTTGGTGCATTACATGGGCAATACGTCACGTAGCCTGTCCTGACCTGACGTGGCTATGAACCAACTATGCCAGGAGCTCGATCTATCCATCTCTAGTTACATTTAGGCCTTATTTGGTTTGATGTAAAAGGTTTTCATGGAAAATAAATTTTCCATTTTTTTCCATATATTTTCCTTTGTTTGGTTTGTTAAGGGGTGGCAGTGGCGGATCCACGTTGGGTTCAAGTGAGTTCATTGAATCCACTGATTTTTTGGAAAATAAAAAGTTTTTTTTTTCAATTAAAATAAATCGGAAAAAGGAATAAATACAATTTGTATGTACATATGAAATAGAAAGCTCAGCGTAGCTCGCTGGTAATAAGTCAGTGCTTGGTTTGTACGCTTTGGACTCAATGGTTAGCAGTTCGATTCTTGGAAACCCAAATTTTCAATCTTTTTTTAGTTGCTTCAATTACTCTACTAAACCCCAATAAAAATTTATATAATCAAGTGGAATGTTGTTAGGTTTGTCTCAAAAAATACCTTTATCCTACCGTGTTTTTATAAATTTAGCACGTCTTGTATGCGGTCGGCCACACCGTGTGGCCACTTAAAGTAACCCATTTAAAGTTGATTAAGTAATCCCTATAACACTGATCGAGAGTAACTCTATAACAATGACGAAGTAACCCTTTTAACACTGACCAAGTAACCCCCATTACACTATCAAAGTAACCCCTATAGTGATTGGCCACACGGTGTGGCCAGCCACACATAATACTCTGTGTTATAAATTTGTCATAAAGGAGGCTCGGCTCGAGCTCGAAGCTCGACGAGCTTTGAAAACTTGGGCTCGGCTCGAGCTCGAGACTCCAAACCCAAGTTCGGCTCGAAGCTCGGCTCGATTTGAGTTTTTTTTTTCAAAAATATTTAATTCTTTTTATTTAAGTCAATGATTTTATGATAATGCATTTTATTCAAAAGAATAAATAAATTATGATAATGCGTTGACTAATTAAAATATTTGGCATATTTCCGATCATCTAAATGTTAAACAAACTCCAAGAGATACAAACAATTCATATAAAATAAAATATTACAAAATATCTAAAAGTTCCACAAAACCATAATATTACAATTTTTAGTGAAAAAGTTGATGCTCTTGTCTTCTTTCCAAATCTATGTGACTTGTCTTCAGCCATAGTTAGATAAACAAACTAACCTCCAATTCCAGCCATAGTTGAGTAGACGACGGTGAATATATGACGGAGAACACTAATTCGCGGTGGAGCATGAACAGCAGTAGATGTGGACTCATGGATTGTGGAAATCTGGTTGTTTAGAGTTGAGAGTGTTTTGAGGGTAGAGTGTTTTGAGGGGGATGACGGCCGTGAGGTATTGGAGGTTGGAGTTGTGGTTAGGGTTTTAAAAAGTCATGAGAATATATATTTTTTATTTTTTTATTTCTTATTTTTTTTATATTTTTTTTAAATATCAAACTTTTTTTTAATATATATATTTTAATCGAACTGTTCACGAGCTTTCGGCTCGTTAAGGTTTCGAGCCGAACTCGAACTCGAGTCGAGCCTCATCGAACCGAGCTTTGACCGAACCGAGCTCGAACAGTTCACGAATAGCTCAGTCTCATTATCACCCCTACTTGTCACTATTATGACTCACCCAGGACTACTTCACCTACTACAAGCTTTGTAAATTGTACCGTAATACAACAAGAACAGCAGCTCATCTTCATTCTTCAATCATTGAAATCATAATCTTTGAAAAAACAATGCCGAATTTTCTATCTCCTCGTTTCTCCTCTCTTAGGCGCACACTCATGGCGTCCACTCGAATGATTAGCACTGCCACTACTTCACGTCTTAATCCTTCATCATCAAAATATAGTGTCAATTATTCCAACACTATTTTGTCACATCATCACAACCTTAATCTTCCTACAAAACTACCACATTACTTCCGCCTCAGGTTTGACGTTGGTGTTGGTTTATCTTCTTCAATGCGCTCTAACAGCTACTGCACCGCCTCCGAAAACAAAGACGATACGAGTACTAAACCAGACCCAGACCTGGTATATTTTTTGTATGCTAGCTTACTTGCTTAGGGCAATAGCAATAAGAGGTTTGTGGAAACAAATCTTATTGTGAGTTGAAGTTTGTTTTTTAAAGGTTTGTCTACACAAACCGGTTTGAACTTGCTGAGTTGACAAAAAGTTTAACCCTTGGAAAAAATATTGTGGGGCTCATTATATTATATTATTTTATTCAAAAAATAATTAGATTATAACTCTCATAAATTATCATATAAATTTATTTTTTGTATCATAATATTTTTTTAGAGAGAAGGAATTAAATCAAAATGCACCACATCTACTATTTATAATATATTCTAATCAATTTAAATAATATATATACTTCACAATCTAATATAATTTTATTACTGTGTGTAGACCAGTCATTGTCAATCGAATCTGGTCACAAGTCATTTCAAACAAGGATCTTATTTCAGGTTACGGGTCAAGAAATATTTTTCACCAATATTATTATTATTAATCATTACATGTCTACTACATAGTTTAAATTGTCACAAAAACACATCAATTCCTAACTAATTTTGTATCAACGATATATTTTAAAATTTGACATATAGATTAAAAATTTATCTTAAAATTCAATAAACAACCCGGGCATCGCACGGACACAAAACTAGTTATATTATATTAGCATTGAAGATAGTGGGTCCCCTACATAAACCTATAAATAAGTTTATCTATTGTTGATGAAAGGTTTGTTAGGGGAGAGGTTTGTATAATGATGACGTGTTAAGTGAACAAACCTACATAGTAATAATTTCATAGTTTCAATATAATATATAAATATATTTTGTGAAGGTGATTGCAAATTTGCAATTTGGGGTTATTTTACATTTTTACCTTGAGTTCATCTTTTTAATTAAACGAGTCAATTAATATGATACCGAGAGATTTTATTTTGGAATCGATTGTTTTATTTTAGTCTTAATGTTGTGCTAAATTTCTAGGTTGAACATGGCACTAAAGTTGGCAACTTTTTGCAAATTATTAGCAAGACCCGTAATTTTTTCGACTATATATATGTTGGTTATTATTGGCTAGGCTTGCCCTCAAAAGGCCAACCCGAATTTGAACCCGAATTGTAAAAGCGCGGCTCAGCCGGTCCATGATCAATCGATAATCTCATAGTATACCGTAAACGTTAGACCTCAGGTCCTCAGTATTTAATTGTTACGGAGTACAAATTTAAGCTATATAAGTGTAGCAAAATTCCATTAAATATTGGTCACTCTTGTTGCCACTTTTTATCCATTCAATTTACAAGATTGTTGTATAATTTGGCTAGAACTAACTATTTTTGTTAACAGTGGAATGTTCTTAACGACTATAACGTTCTAAAAGGCTGGAATGTACCGTGGTCATTGCTTACAACTATATTGACAGTAGCCATTGCTGATATAACATAGGTTTTCAACATTTTGACTCAAGTAATTTCAGTTACTTCAATTCTAATATTAGGCTATGATTAATCAGTATGTATTTATCTATGTTCTCAATTTCAGTTCTCGTGCACCATTCATTGTAGCAACGAAAGTTTGCAAATACTTTCAAGTCAGTTCTACACTTGGATCTAATGTAAATGGAATCATTCAAGTTGGGACTTCTTGGTATGTAATTCTCTTCCTAAGCTCAAGTTCATGTTCTACAAGATTGTCGTAATGTCTACGGATTTTGTAATAATCGTAACACTTGAACAAGACAGTTTGTCGAAAACAAGTGCACTTATTTCTTTTAATGATTAATTAAGAATTCGTATGCACTAATAATCTCAGATTTCAAGGAACCATTCAATCCACGGAAAGGATGGCTTTTGTGGACTGTTATTTCTTTTGGCTTCAATTCCTTTATGCTCTGACTTTCTTTAGACGCTACAAAGGAACAGACTTAACAGAAACTGTAGAGGTTAGGACTCTTGATACTCGATTATTCGTAGTCCTTACTTAAGGAGATGTCTAGTACTACCTCCGTTAATTATTATTTGCAACTTTGAAATATTTTATATCTCACAAATAATACCTTAAAGTTGCAGATAGCAATTAACGGAGGTAGTATTAGATCTACGAGTATTTGATTTCAGAGCACAATAGCTAAAGAGCCATTTCCATGTATATATGCATGATCAATTAATCACCAATAGTTTTGATATTTGAATTTAGAAACCGCGAGATAAATGGTGGTACTTGTTAATACAATACACAAGTTTCAGGTACATATCTTCACAAGAAATAGTTTCTCCTATTGTTGGTGTTGTATTGAGAGTTGATTAAATACATCTGATACTTGTCATTTGCCAAACTATATCTCAGATATGTGTACTCTTTTCTAACTTGGGCTATTCTGGACTTTTTTTATATGAATTCCGGGCACTTGAAGTCGTCTATAATCGGCCTCTAGTCTTGTGTACTATACCAATCCCCTTCGATGGATATAGACAATGATTTTGTGATATACATTAATTTGACCTAGGGCTGTATGACACTCTTACATCTTCATTTACTAACGATAGAGTAAAACATGATATGAAGGCTGTCAGATTACCTAAAAATCAGGAAATTCAGGTTGTGATGAAATAAATGACAGATCTTTGAAGAGATAAAGTAGCGAGAATATTCGGATGTTAAATTGAGATAAAGTACCAAGATTTCAATTAATGGCTCTTCAATAAAGTATGTAGTAGCAGACTAGCAGCATATGCAATTGATGGCAGGAGTGTGGGTAAATGAGGGAGGTTACACTAAATGTTATCATCAATACAACTGGATTACCTTAACAAATGAAGCATTTTTGTGGATCAAAATCGGAATACCCAACATCAACAAGGCAGAGACCGTCTGGAGGGGCAGGAGGGGCAGTAGCCCGTCTACACGTAGCTTCCATCAGTTTTAGTAAAATATCCTCTTCTGAGCCAGCGGCTGCTTCCCTAACTACAGTTGCAACAAGAACACGAACCATCTGCAGTACACACACAACACATTACTCGATCAATAGGGAAGAATGTCAGCAAGCAGGATTTCCAGATGAGTGTCACTGTCTCATACTAAAGAACAAACAAACGTATCCTTTTTAACAAGAGACGGAAAATTCATGCATTGATAAGATGGGAGTCATGGGACATTGAAATTGCACTATGTAAATCATTATCAAATGATGCAACTGAGGAATATCATATTTGGTGATGGATTTATACTGAAGAAAATGTGTTTTGAATCAATCACATGAGATAAGACTTGAGCAAAACAGGTTTTTCGCAGTAAAACAAACTTCATCTGGAATAAATTGTTACAGAGTTGTAACCCTTCAGGCGCTCATGGTCTCATTATTAAGAATATGATACAGCTTAACTAACAAATGTTCTATATAAGAGTCACATCATTCTCAAACTCTTTCCATTGCTAAATCCTCAAGATATTTTGGGAAAAGTCAATCATAAAGCACTACTACTAAGGAAATTTGAAAACTTTCGACAAACTTTATGCAGGCGAGGGTGCTATTCAGATATTCTCATATCCTAGTTTGAGCTCCTTTCACTGAACCATACGACCACACCCAACAAAAGAACTATGGAGCTCCACTTTTTTAATAACGGGTCTTGCTATGTTACAAGCATGGATGATTTTATAGATTTATGAAGTAATGAAGGAGAAATTAGAAAGCTAGCCATGCTTTAGAAATGAGATTTTTTAAACCTCTGGTTTTTCAGCTCAAAATTTACTTCATATAAATCTTTCTGGTAGTACATTCATTCATGACATGATCATCAAATACAAGGCCCTTCTATGAACTTTTGGATCCTTGCTATGAATCCGATAGATTTCTCATCTGCACCATTACCAGATGGTGCACAAACAGCTCAATAATTTAAGATACTGCAAACTCATGGGTTTTATATGACAAATATTTGTGAACACTTTTACTGTTCCAGGGATTTAGTTAATTGATGACTATGAAATCACCAAAGATAAAGATTTATGAGTATTTACCCTTCTTAAGAAACGGTTGGCAACAAGCTCAATGCACATTACTTTCATACCATCTGCATGATCCTGTCAAGAAGAATGATAGTATAAGTAACATGATATTCAAAATATTGGAACAACTAGTCAGCTGTGTACAATAGAAAATATTAGCATTTACAAAAGAATCTTTTTACATGATCTCAAGCATAATAATGGATAGATGGATACCAAAAGATTTTTTAGCATGTTTTTTTCTAACACTTTAAATCCTTGTAAAGTTTTTTTATTTTTCTTATTACATGTTTAAGCCTTTTGAATGGATGTTATGGATCAGGTAGATTATAAACAGGTCAATAATTGATTGTACAGGTCTGAGTAACCTTTAGGTTAAATGCATATTTTTATTTTGGATCAACAAATGCCCAACCCCAACCAAATTGGAGACTTTAATATTGTCACTTTTATTTTTATTTTTTGAACAGATACACCAGCAGCTTGACAGGTAAAGTTCACGAATTTTATAATTATCAATTTATACTGGTAGACAACCAGGCAACCAGCCTACAATTATCAGCATGTGGAAAAAAAATGGTTCACAAATCACACGTTAACTTGAGTAAAACAAGTTACCACTCACAACGGCAATTTGCCTCCTATAGTTTTATTGGCAATTGGGCAATATTATACATTCCACAGACAATCACCAGAGAGTCAGGACAGACCAACAACCTGCGAGGACAGGGATGATATGACTATACTTCCTATTCTTTTCCCCTTGTGATTCTAGCAGTTACCTTATAAAAAACATCTCACCAAAAACTGACCATCCTCAAATGCACCATGTAACGTTAACTTTCCATGTCAAGTTCATGATCAAAGTACATATCTCACCATAAGAAGAGTATTGACTATTAATAATCACCACAACATGAAAGCGAAGGAAGCAGCCTCAAGTACTCAACCTTCACCAGAACTCTCTTCAAGGGAGAAAGGAAGAAAAACCTCCTATTAGCAAATACAGACAGATACTGCTCAGTCACCAAAGAATTTTCTCTTAGCAGATTTCATGATAGAGATATTGGAACTACTCAGCACATACTAACTTTCAGGCCTGGTCATACACTCATGCTCACATCTTCCTCATCCACCATTACCATTCTATATTTCTTAAGTAATGAAAAATTTTAAAATCTCCCAATGTTTCCTTTCACTTGGATAGCGACTTGGAAAGTTGCGCATCATTCCATAATAATATCCCCTCATTTGAACTACCAGCCATCCTCATACTACATCTTTATTTCATCCTCTTCGTGAAATTTTTCCAATGTCCCAAGTCCACACTCCCCTCTCAACTTGAATTTCACACTTATAAGCCTAGTCTCTCATTCTTAAAGCTATAATTATTTACTAAGCAAACACTACCCCTTAGGAATGACATATTGACATTTGTCAACACCAAAGACACACCTATGCAGCTATGCCATGGTGTTGCCCCCGTTTTTTTCAGAACTTTTAATAAAAGCTTCATGTTCATCTTGTTTTTTACTTCATAACAATTGACCTTTTCTTATTCTATGTCAGCTTATGATGACACCAATACTCATCCTATTTCATTTCTTTGCTCGTGTGTGTAGCACGCAAATCAGGAACATCATACAGCACCAAGACTCTTTCGCCAGTCAGTTTGTCATAATTAAAAGAATGTGGTTTTTCATCAAGCCAAAAAGAATATGAGTTATGATTAAATAAATCGTACAAGTATAGGACTACAAATAGTAAACATTTGATGCTTATTCTAAAAATCAGGCATACAAATATACGATTAGCAAAAGTGCCTCTATACCAGTATGTTAGCATTGGTATATACAATAATAAACCCTCCCACGCGTTACAAAAACAAAGAACATAATTGAAAATAGTAACCTTATTTGAGCAAGGTATTTTAACTTCAGCTGCTCGAGCATGATACACAAAACACTCTGTTGGGGGTCCGCTGAAATATTGTAATGGAAGAATTTAGTATGGCTCATAACACAGTTTTAGTTAATTAACATAAATAATTTACAGATTCACAGGCTAGTCGCATAATGGGGGCCAAAAGGGAAAAAGAAACTTACGTGTTTCTTGAAGCTTTGGTGTCTCGGGCAAACATTTTATAGGAAAGTAACTTTCCTTCTAATTGATGTAAAAGCTGATCAACTCTTCTGACAGAGAAGGATGTTGGTTTCTTTACCCCATCAAGCTCCGTTTTTTCAGTTGAAAGGTCCTTGAAATTCTCCTCATGATCATCTTTAGCAATTTCATTTTTTCCACATCTCTGACTCTTTTCAGACCACAAAATTTCTGTCTCCTCTATTTCACTACTTTGTTCCCTGCGATCTCCTTCCCCCAATGGAAAAATGTAAAGATATCTCCTCCATTTGGCACAAAAATTTGGATGAAAAGCACGCGATACCTTCAACAATAAACTGAGTGGTTCACATTCATGCACAGTCATAATCAGCTAAATTTTCTCAAACAAGAAGGGCATGTATTGAGAAGTTTCTTTAAGGTATTACCTGAGACACAGATACAACTCGGAGTTTCTCGGGTGCTGCTAAGTTAATGGCATGCTTAATGTCCTCAATATTGACATCGTTTCGCCAAGTATCTGGACATGCCATACAAAATGCATCAGTCATAGCCAAGAATCAGAAATAGGAAACTATAGTCACACTTTTGCAGATTATAGTTCATGTTACTCACTTTCATAGTACAATTAAAAAAATAAAAAAAGTATCCCCTCCATCCCACAATAAATTACATTAATCCCTACTTTGGACACCTCCAAAATAAGCTGCACTTTCCTTTAATGATTGTCACTCTACCCACTTTCTCTTACAATCTCTCTACTACCCACTTTCTCTTGTATTTTCTCTACACCCACTTTTTCTTTATTTTTCTCTCTTTACCTTCTTTTATTTCCAATTTTATTAACATTTAACAATACTTTTATACTTGGTTAAAAGCAACCACGCAACTTATTTCAACTTATTTGGAGACAGAGGGAGTATCCACCTCTTCTTTAGGAAACTAGAATATCTTGTCCAGCACAGAATTATAGGAAGAAGCACAGAAACATTGAGATGAAGCAAATGTCTGCAAGCAATGTTTTTTAGATATAAGATTAGAAAAATCCTGCACCACCTAACAGAGTAAATAAGTGTATTTGATAAGCGGAACAGGATTGACCAAAACTGTGTATAATATATTAATCTTTGACAAAACCTATCTGATACTTTAGATCAACCAATTTAATTTCTCACTCCCTTACTCTAGATAATTAAGCTACTAGTCGTGTAATCTCACTAAAAAAACCAAAAAACAAAATACATGATAGGTTTCCAACGCATAATACTCAGGGTGCTGCAACAGAAAGATCAGCCCAACCACCTTAGAAAGAAGTTTTTTTTAAAAAAATAAATAAAATAAATAAATAAATAAACATTGCTCAAACAGACAATGTTCTCCCAATAACAAACACCAGCCCCTGAGAACATGCACTGCATGAAAGGTTTTGGATTGGCCAACCTCCTGTTCAAATTTTATTTTATTTTTCTTATTGTGATCTCACAGTAAAATTTATGCCACCATGGAGCAACAATGAGCAATATCCACTTCAAAGAAGATGTATGCCATAAATATAGTGGAAACAAAGAAAATATTCTACAAGGTGTCTGCAACCTTGTGGCAGTGCCTAGTGTGTTGAGAATACTTCCTTTTTTGTTCTACTCACCTTCCGGTCTTTTTTATATATAATATACTCACTTCTACTACATTACATTTTTGACAAACCCCCTTTACTATCTCAATCCTCCTATCAAACAAAATTTACACCATTTCACTCTCTTACATCCACCAAACTTTTTCAAAATTTCCTTAATCTACATATCAACAGTATCCAAGTATAACAAAAAAACCCGAGACAGTATGTAATTACATAGTCCAAAAACAAAGAACATCTTTCAATCTAAGTCATCAAGGACTTAAGTATTAATACTTAAGCAAGCCAGTTTTATTCTTTTGCTTATTATCATCTAACTTGAACCCATTTTGGTAACCTCACATCATTTATCTTGCGCGTTATCCAGGCACCCCATAATTAAGTAGCACTTTGCTCCAATAATCTTAATAAGATACTCCCTTTGTCCCTTAGGAGCAGGTTTAATTACCAGATGTGGTCACAATCGCGGTAAATTCAGAACTACTTTCAAGGGAAATCCAGATGGTATCTGGCAGTTGTGGCCTATTATCATAGTCGCAATAACCCACAATCCTTTCGCGATTCAGTGATGAGGATAATATTCACTACAATGCTTTACAATGTGGTCGCAATGCAATGATGAGTAACCATACTCAGTTTTTCAAAATATCAAGTAATGACTAAATATGAATAAAATGATAATTTGTCTCCTATATAAAGTTACTTTGGAATGCAGAATTTCTTACAAATAATGTCAAAGACAAATAAAGGGCCAGAAGGTAAAAACAATACTAAAGTTTGAAAGTAGAAAATGATAAGGAAAATTGTCACAATATATTCAAATAATAGTGATCATTATCCAAGTGACGAAGATTATAGATGATACACTTCCTCCATTCTAAAATATTGCACCGTATTGACTTTTACACTATTCACATGCTCTCCTTTGACTATCATTGTGATTTATATGTAATGAGTAATATAGTCATGCTATATCAACATATTGTCAACATGGTGCAATATTTGTGGAACGCAAAAGGTAATTCAAAAAAAAGAAAAAAAGAAAAAAAGAAAAAAAAAAAAAAAAAAAAAAAAAAGCCTACCATTGTAAAAAATACTTGCATGCCAAACACAATTTTCATCAAACATTGATGGATACCTTTGTCTCTTGTAAACAACCATTCAAATGTCAATGTTTCGCTATACAGTTGCACAACTTGGACCTCTTTGAACCTAAGGGAATCTATACCCGCTACCCAGGTGTGATAGTTGCTTCTTAATGTTGTTTGGCCCTTTCTCCTACTTTTAAGGGTGTAAATGAGGCAAGATGAGCTAAGCACTTTAACTTATGCAAGTCCGAACAAAGCTCATAATTTTATTCAAGCTTGATTCGTTTAGGAGGTAATAGTGCTAGCAAATAGCACATTTATAAATCAAGCCATGTTCATAAACAAGTTTTATTATAAAGTAGCTTTTTATATACAAGCTCGGCTCATTATCAATTATATGGTTGTTTAATGTTTATTGAGAGTCACGGCTTGTTTACTTTACTAGATACTTCAAAACAAGGGTGAACTTGTTAACAACTAAAATAACAGATCTAGCAAGACCACACTAAAGATAAACTGTGAGTGCATAGCAATATGAAGATAATGGATACAACAGGAAAGCAATCATAGCCCAAGATTAGCCCAAAAAACTGAATAATGTGTACATCGATGCAACTACCCTAATCTTTACTCAGGTAAGCAGGAAGTTACCAATGAATGGTAGAGATGTCAAGAATCAACTTACAGAATGAGCAAACTTGGTTAAGTGCCGTCACCCCTTTGTCAGTTCGCCCAGCAACAACTACCATCCCTTCAACTGGCAAACCCTTTTTTTTCCTCTGTTGAGCCTTCCTTTCATCCACAAATATCCCAATGGACCTCTCCACCGGTCTGTTTTGAGTAGAGAAGGTAATCAAATGAGAAAGGAAGTGGATCGGACAAGGGAAGCCAAATATTTTATCCGAAAAAGATTATCAAATAAAGTCCTTGAATCTAATCATACATAGTTTGAAACTAAATGCAGAGAGAAAGAGATCAGTCAACCAATCTGCTCATGTAAAGTAGGGAAGAGCTGATTCTCAAAACCGAAAATTTGCATGAAGTAAGAAATAAATAGACATCACATTCAACTGAAGGAGAGGATCACATATTCACATTCCAAATTTCCAAAATTCACCATGCATTCAAACTTTATTAGAAATGAGATCTAGAATTCAACAAACAACATAAATGACACATTCCTTCACTGTCTGGGTCTCAGTTAAAATAAGCAGTACAGAAATGCCAATATCTAACCCATCTAGAAATTAAAGTCACTTCTTCCTACATGTAGTTTGCTTCTCCGTTCTTTTTTTTCCCCAATTGGACCTTAGTAGCTCATAATTTTTGAGAAACTTTGGTCAACCTAATATATTTGTTTATGGAACATAGAACATTCCAAAGTAAAACCAAGTATTCTAGAAAAAATTATACCACCAAGAATGAACTCAACTAGATATCAGAGTTACCAGAGACATAGGTAGGCTTTAAATTTTGAGACAGATTGAATAAAAAGAGTATATGCATGAGAAATCTGAGACATAAAATGAAGAAAGGACAAAACTAATAAATAATATTCTTTTAGGCCGAGGGAGCTGATCTAACGCCAGACGAAATAGAGGAAAAAAATCTGTGAATAAAAATAATACAACACATTCATATTTATGAGAGTCCTGACAAAGTAACAGAAACATACTCCTGAACAGTGTTTAATCCAGGCTGCTTCTGCCAACCATCAAAGTACTCCCCATGATAGGACACTACTATCTTATAAGTCACTCTCGCCCATCGTCCAGAATGATCATCAGGGACATTATTCTCCGGAGCATATTCATCAGAACTCTTCACAATGTCATCCACATCCTTGTCATGATTCAACAAACATATATTAAATATGAGCGCAAAAATAATTAGGAGACTACTGAAACACTTTCCTAAAACAGTATCATCATATTACAGCAAGCGACATCAACAATCAGTGCAATCAACAAAACAAGTCAATATTTAGTCTTAGCACCAGAAGAAAAATCAACTCGAGTCATAACTATGACTGTGGTAGGTCCAGCTAATGATGGTAATGGATGCTAATGAGAATACAAGGCTTGTGCTTGAATATTTTAACTACAAGTTTGAGGTTATCATGGCATTAGTTGAGCAAAAAAGTCATAATGTATTGGAGGTTGATGAAGTTTCACCACTTTGGAAGTTGATGGTAATGAAACTCCATCCGCAAACATATGTTTTCTACACTAATTTTATTTACTACCCAAGACCACCTCTAAAGTGGTGATGCATGGTAGCAAAAACTTAAGGGGAAAAAAAATAAGAGACATTTGGAGGCGAATAAGCTAAAGCATTAACATGGACATTGACATGAGACTTTCTTTAAACTAATACCATATAAATCTATTTCCATTACCACTATACATTACTGCCTAGTGGCTATCATACAAGCTATGGTACATTATATTGAAAACGGTTAGTGAGTGAAATGAACTCAAACTCGTAGTTTCGACTCTTATAATTTTGTTATATGGTTAAGTTGATGACATAAATATTTACAAACACAAAGTTCTTAAACACAAAATAATGCTCACAAATTGTACATCAACACCAAGAACCCTAAAATGATAATTCACAATGACAAATGTGACACATCTTCATTTGATCCTAGGCCGAAAGCCAAGAATGATCAAATCTCACCAACATTATTGCCCCCATTGGCTCTCTATAAACCAAAAAAAATACACACATTTGTACTAGTTCTAAAATTCTCAAATTTCACCATTCCTATAGTATGAAGTTTGAGAAGTTCACAGTTCCATTCTCCTACATGAAGATATTGTAAAGAACGGTCGCCCCAAGACCGAAAATTTCACAATCAAGTTCAAAAATTGAAGCAAATACATAACCAGCAAAATTAATTAAACCATAAACGACCAACCTTGTGTCCAAATAACTCTGCCAAAGAAGAACGCCCATTCACTAAATCCAAATAATAATCGTTTACTGATTTCCATGGCCTTGAATACATATACTGGTAACATTCCCTATATATTTTACAAGAAAACTAATAATTCAACAAAACCCACAAAAATTAACAAAAAATTAATGAAACCCAGATGAAAAATTCAGATTTTTACAAACAAATTGAAGTAAAATTGCAAAATCAACAACATATTCATAAAAAAGAGCTGCAAATAAAATTGGGTTAGTTGGAAATGGGAAAAAAGGGGTTACCTGGCTGTCCATCGCAAGTCCTTGCAAGGGTCAGTGTGAGCGTAGTGATGGTGGACTTTGTTCTCAGCATCAGTCGCCATTTTTAAGCTTCGAGCCTGAACCCAATATTGAGGTTTCAGGCTTTTAGCAATGGCGATTTTGAGCATGTCGCATAATTACACTTTTTAAGTGACTACTACTAGAGTACTAGGAACGTTGGACGCCAAAAGGGCCGTCACACTGAGGATTGAAAGGGGTTGAAACTTGAAAGTGGGCGAACTCGAATATTGATTGACTATCTAAATCCGAACTATACCCGAAATTATATGGTCCGATTAAGGACCACCTTACCCCTTGAAAACAACAAATGTTTCATTGTTTCTAAATGAGAAATTGACGAAGAATTGTGAAAATATCTAAAATTGATGAATGATTATGAAGATTCTAGATTTATGTAATTATGTAAATTAAAGCAAGTATATATGTAGAAGTTTAATTTCTACGCAGTTCTTGATTTTTTCTACTTTCATACATTATATATATATATATATATATATATTATATATATATATATATATATATATATAAAAAGGTGTTGGACATCTACTAAATTAGAGTGGAAATATAATAAAATGGTTTGTATTGTTTTATTATTATTCATCAATAAGTTGAGTATATATACAAAACATACGCTTATAAGATATGATCACCTATATATATGTAATGCTTATAAGATATGATCACTTATATATATGTAAGGTGTTGGATATTTGCTAAATTAGAGTGGAAATATAATATAATGTTTGTATTGCTTTATTATATTATTCATCAATAGGTTGAGTATTTATACAAAACCTACGCTCATAAGAGATATATTCACTAAATATTATCTTAATATAAATAAACTTAAATAAATTATTCTCATAATTAGATATATACGAAAAATATAATACAATATAATAAAAACCAGTGCTGAGGAGTTAAATTTCGTTTTCTAAATGATTTTGATATCGACTCTGAGACCAATCATGTGTATATTGCCGATACAAGTTCTCGTTATCAACGATGGAAATTTCGGTCAATTAATAGAAGTGATCGAAGTGGAAGATTGCTAAGATATGATCCCAACACCAAACGTGTAACTGCTCTACTACGACTCTATGAGGTCTTTCTTTCGCAAATGGGGTTTGCATTGAGCAAGAGCTAAGATTTTATTCTTGTTACAGAAACAACAACATATCAAGTGCAAAAGTATTGGCTTATCGGTTCTAAAGCTGGAACCGGCGAGCTATTAATCTAGCTTTCAGGACGACCAGATAACATCAATCGGAACACAAATGGTGATTTTTGGATTACCCAAATAAAACAATCAAAGTTCACGAGTTCGGAACGATATTAGAAAGTTTAGCTAGAGACATCATTGTTGATACGAGCGACGTAACAGAGTTTCACAGCAACTTGTGGATAAGTTTAGTTATTCAGAATTACATTATATATACTAGCTAAATTTTAGTCATAATTATAATTTTTATGTAATGTTGTGTATTTATTTGTTTAAATAAAAAAAATAAAAATTGCACTACGACGGAAGTTTTTGTTAAAATTTATGAATCCCGCTAGTGAGTTTAATTTTCTAACCCACTAGCAGGGGGAAAATTTTTGTGAACGGTTCTAAGATTTAACTTGACTCTAATACCATGCTAAATTAGAGAGGAAATATAATATAATGATTTGTATTGCATTATTATTATTCATCAATAAGTTGAGTATTTATACAAAATATACGCTCATAAGATAGGAAATAATCTTCCTAAAAGATATACCATATATCCTATCGATGTATTCACTAAATATTTTCTTAACATAAATAAACCTAAACATATTATTCTGATAATAAGATATAAACGGAAAATATATCTGTAGACACCCAAATATGTCTCCCAAAAAACCAAACCCAGTGATGAATACTTTTCACGTCACTTGATTATCAAACGAAGTGAAAGTGTGAAAAATCTTGTGGTGCGGTTGTTTTAATAAAAAAATCTTTCTTCTGTTTTCAAAAGTCTACTCTATTTTATGAAAATAGTCGGTTCAATTTAGCTTCGTCCATGACAAGGTTCCAATAGTGTAGTTGGGTCGAGCTCGCAAAGAGCTTTCCAACGATAAATTATAAGCCCAAATTACGATGATGAATAATGAGGAAGTTATGGCCAAAATACTAAATTGGGTCTGAAACGGTTTATTAGAAAATAAGAATTTGGTTTGAAATAAAACAAGTGTTTTATGATAAATCTGATTTGAAATTGCTAAACACGGAGTTTAATTGCTTAATTATATTAAGAAAAGGATTCCGTACAAAAGCGCGTTTTATCTTTCAGCCAGCGCCAAACGACAAACCTGTCGCTAGACGACAGAGCCTGTCGCCCATGCGTGATGCATGTCGTTTTGCGCTGGGTCTTGTCGTGGAGCCAGTTTTATTCCGATTCAAGTTCTAATTCTTTTCTATCGTTTCCAATAGGGTTGTATTTCCCTTTTTTATTCATTAACAATCATCAATAATTCTCTCATGCAATAGCTTATCCTTTTCCCTCTTTCTAAACCTTCCTTCCTTTTTACAAAATTCCGCATTCATGAGATCTAGACATACCTAGCCAAGTTCGAAGTTGTCTTCGCCATAGACGTGAAAGGTTGATGATTTCCGAGGGTTTGGTCCCAAATCTTATTTCAATTCATTGATTAGATTTATTATTTAATATTTTCCTTAAAATTACTAACGTGTGTATTTTGTTATTAGAAAGAGATACAAGACAACAAAATAAGTTAATTGTTTTAATTTCTAATTTCTTTAGAAAAGCATGCCTAGATTATTTTAATTTATTGCTTTCTAATATCATGTTTAGGTTTCTTCCAATTTTTTCTATCATGTCAGGAATAAAGCTTTGATTTTTATTATTTAGTGACATGCTAGGATTTGTTATTAATCTTGTTAGTCTCATGCCTAGGATATTGCTAATAATATTTTTATGCTTTGATGATATTGAGAATATTATTTTGATGGTGATAATTTGTTATGTTCCTTGATACATTTCTTGTTATTGCTTGATCACGCCCTCTCTTGTAGGATTAAATGGAATTTGTAATTGTAATCACGCTTAATAAGATAATTAATAATCTTTTATGATTATAGTTCAAGTAATCGCCAATAATAGTTTTATTTGTGCATTAATATTCAACCAACATAGATTAAACAGGTTTAGGGTTAATCTAATGATTGTATGTTAATCAGAAAACAAACATTAATATGGGAAGAATAAAGTAGAGGCCTATTTTTAGGGCAGGTTTAATCTCTTTTAGGTTGGATTTGTACCTTCATCTCCAAATATCTAGTCATGGTCCCAAACCACTATGGAGTTAGCGATCTCATGGATCGTGAAGGGATGTAAACTTCACTCTGTGAGTGGTTTACAAGTTTCTAAAACTTGATGGCGACTCTTTTACTCTAGCTCACTTCCCTTTGGACAACACTATGCTTAAGTGTATGATTACATTGGGGCTCAAGTGTGGGATGCTTGAAATATTCCCTACAATATCACACATATTTTCCGACATCTCATATCTCTAAGAACATCACTTGGAAGCTAATATCCAACTATCTACCAACATCATTCTCCAATACTGCGATCCTATTATACATTGTACTAATTTATTTTTCATATAGTGGATTTACTTTTACTGCACATTGTTTCTTTTTCTTTTTTTTTTTGGAAAATTTTCTCTGTTAAATATTGTGTGTGCATTTATTTTTAACTACTTCCTTTGTTTTCTAGATACATCACTTTCCACATTTGAAACTTTTTTAGATGAGTTTACTATTTGTTAATAAATTCTCTCCATTTCTCATATCATATGAGTATAGGCCATTTTTTCTTTCTACTCTATATATCTTCATCTCCCAAAATTGCTTATGAGTCCATAAATTTAAAATTTTTGCATCTAATAAAAAATGGAGGAAGTATTAATAATCCATGCCTTTAATTATATTTTGTTTTTCATACTTTTCAATATCTACATTTAGGATTTTAAATTTTAGTAGTAACCTATTAAAGAAGAGATTATTAAAATCTTTTATAATTAAATAATTCAAATGCCATGTAAGCAAAATTGGCGAATGAGATCTTTAAATTTAAATTAATTAAATACAAAATATTAATTTTGAGATTAGGAATTATATCTAATATTTTAAAATTAATATAATAAAAATTTTAATCACATAAATATGAAAAATACTAGATGAAGCCCGTGCGATGCACAGTTTGTTTGAATTTTTTAAAATATTATATATATATATATATATATATATATATTTATGTGCTAAAATTTGTTATATATTTAGATAAAATTCCTGATATCAAAAGATAATATTTTATATTTAATTAATTTAAATTGGATAATCTTGCTTATGTGTCAGTTAAATTATTTAATTTTAAAAGAAATTAATAATATTGTATTTAATTGGCTACGACTAAAATTTATTATCCTACGTGGTGCGCTGAAAAAATTAAAACTTACGTGACTTTCTAAAAACTCGGGAAAAAACTCCCCTTTATGTGTGTGTGTGTGTGTGTGTGTGTGTATGAATTATAAATTTTTGTTATAGCCAATTAAATAACATATTATTAATTTCTTTTAGAATTAAATAATTCAAATGCCACATAGGCAAAATTGGCAAATGATTTTTTTTAGTTTAAATTAATTAAATATTATACATTATCTTTTAATATTAGGAATTTTACCTAAATATGTAACAAATTTTAGCACATTAATACCAAAAAAAATCTAATAACCGTGCATCACACGGGCTTTCTCGAGTTTTTAGAGAGCCACGTAGAATTTAAATTTTCCAGCGCCATGTAGGGTAATTAATTTTAGTGGTAGAATTAAAAAAATTTAAATGACACGTAAGCAAATTTGCGAATGAGATTTTTCGGTTTAAATTAATTAAAGGAAAAATGAAAAAGAAAAATCCAATCTTTGCACTTTTTCCTTACAAAAATCCAACCTTCATTTTATTCCTTAAAAATCTAACCTTTATACCCCTCCTTCTCCAACAGGTCCATTACCTGTTGATGACCGATTTTGTAAGTGCAACTATTAATAGGTTAATTATTTTTTTAATTATTAAAAACCAAAAATAATTAAAAGAAAAAAATAATAAAAAAAATCAGAAATCCCTTTCCACCACCACCACCTTCCCCTTCCACCACTCCCTCTCCCCCTCCCCCCCTGCGTGCCCACTGAAACCCAACGCACACCACCACCACCACCTTCCCCTAC